AAGAGATTTCCTATCATTCATTTCCATTCCATTATTATTATCTTAAAACACCAAAAATATAGTATCTTAGGTTTGTTTTCATTGCATTTAGTTTTGGCACATTTCATTAAATCTTAAAAACCCAAAACCCCATTTCATTGCATTGCATGGCATTTAGTCTAGCTTAGGTAATTAATAAAGGCTCCCAAAAGTGAAACGACCCGAGTTTGCACTATACTGCATAGCTTGGATTTATTTTGATTGAGAACCTCTAAGCAAACGATAATTAAGGCTCTCCTTCACATAGCTTGTTCTGAATGTTGACGTTGCTGAAACCTATTCTGCATAAACTTCTCCTTGTTGTTCTCTCCTCCTCCTCCATCTAAAATTAGGATGATCCTTCCATCCTTCATTATAAGTGTTGGAGAAAGGATTCCTTTGCTGATATTGACCGGATCTTTGTTGATACATGGCTGACACTTCTTCAAATTGAGAAGGGCAAGATTCAGCCCAATGCATCATGGAACCACAGGAGTCATAAGAGGGAGCTACCAAGGCTTGAGATGTTCCCATAGCACCACATTGTTTACTTGACAAGAGTTGCTCCATCCTAGTCATCCTCTTGTCCATCCTTTCTGATAAGGCAGCAAATTGAGAGTCAGTTAGTAGGATTTGACCTCAAAATCTCATTAACAGATTGGTTATCCCTTGTGCTGAATTGTTGATTGTTGTTAGCCATCTTCTCCAGTAATTCCCAAGCATTGTGATTAGTCAAATCAAATAGTGAACCATGGGCTGCAGCATCTATTGTGTTCTTATGATGAGATAGCAAGCCCTCATAGAAATACTAGACTAAATTAGACTTGCTGATTTGATGATTTGGACATTTAGAAAGCATAGCTAGAAATCTTGTCCAATACTCATACAAGGTCTCTCTACTATCTTGTTGAACTCCATAGATAGCCTTCCTCAATTTAGATGTCCTTGATGCAGGAAAGTATTTCTCTAAAAAGGCCTTCTTTAGTTGTTCCCATGTAAGTGTTGTGAAGTGTTGAGGTAGACTTTGCAACCATTCTTTGGCATTTCCCTCTAATGTGAAGTGGAAAGCTCTCCTTAGCACATCCTCCAATTGAGCACCATGGGGCTTTATAGAAGAACAAACCGCATGCATATTCTGAAGGTGTCTATATGGATCATCCCCTGCAAGACCAAGGAATCTTGGTAAGCTATTAATCAAGGTACCTTTAAGTTCAAAATCAGCTTCAAAGTTATAAAAACCACATGGATCACAGTTTACACTTGAGTTATTAATTTCTCTAATGCTCCTATTCTCCTCATCTCTATTCAATTGAGGATTAGTATTATGGAGAACATTTTCAGCTTGCCTTTCATTTTGAGGTCTATTTGTAGCATCACCTCTCTCAGTTTGAGCATTGTTATTATTTTGATCCATCACAAAATGATTGTCTATAAACCCTCCTAAAGTAGATTCAGATTCTGAGCAAGTTTCAACTTGAGGAGAAGGTTCACTCACTATAGGTTGCTTACTAGATCAGCTATTTGTTTGGTTTTCTTGATTTGCCTAAGAGTTCTATTGATTTCCCAATCAAAAGGTATAAGAGCCTTATCCTGGGACATGCAACTAAAGAACAGGAGAATAGACTAATAAAATAAATGTGAAAAAGCAATTAGACAAAAGACAGAAGTCAGAGAGAGAACAAAAAGTTAAGAGGGAATTACGTGACTGATGATGCTTCTGTCGTTAAAGCACTCAATTAAACTAGGTCCTCATTGATTTGTAGTTTAGGATCGACCTAGGTCATTACTTCCAAGGAGCAATTTGTGGGTTTCTTTAGGTAAAAATTCAGGTGATAAAAAAAGACAATAAATGGACCCAAATAAAATGCAAAATTCTAATTCTAAATGCAAAATGCAAATGTCCTAAAATCTATATGAAAATTAAATTAAACTAAATGAATGCAATGCAATTTTTGGGGGGTTTTTTGAAAGAAAATAAAAATAATGAATAAAGAAAATTAATCAGAAAGCAAAGAGAGTTAACAAGTAAAAATGAGAAGTTCTCTTCAAGTAAGGTAAGGGGACAACTTAGGATTCGCATGAATTTAACCTTCATAACCTTAATCAGTTAATTAGACCAAAGGGAGTGATAAGAGAGTGGAATTAATAAACTTAATTACCTACTTGAAACAAAGGGAACCCTCAATTTCAAAAGCCCTTAAACTATTAGAGAACTCATAACAGTATAAGGTTGGTTAATTAAGCTTATTAAAACCAATGAAAAATAACCCAATTAATTCTGGAAATTATGTTTGAAATTATCCAATTAAACAATCAGATAACCAACCAACTTAATTAAACAATTAAGAGGTGAAAGAACCCAAATTTTGCAATTCAAACCACATTGATAATTAAACTCATAATGAAAACTCAATTATAAATTCAATTAACAATGCAAAGGTTCTAAACATAAATTCCAACAAGTGTCTCAACACAAATAAAATCCAAATATCAATCCAATCCAAGCATAAAGATGACAATCTAGAACTAAATTGTCTCAACAAAAATACAACTTAAAATTATTTAAAACTAAATAATTTCAAGTCCTTGAATTAAAAAGATAAATGGAACATCACTCCCTTGTGGTCTTCAAGTGCTAGCCCAAGGCTCTAGTCTTTTCCATGCTCCTCCCAAGTTGCCTCCCTGTAAGCTTAAGCTTCCATGGTATTATCTCCTCCCTCCATGCTATTAGGAATCATGGCCACCATAGTTAACGGAGAATGGAGAATGGAGATGGGTGTATGTGGCACGTGGAATGGAGACGTTGATGATGATGTTGACTAGATGGCTCTTGTGCGTGGGACAAGGAGGTGGTATATGGTGGATATATGGGATAATATTCAAAGGAGAGGGCTCGTTTTAATGTCCGTGCGTCTCCATATAGATGGAAAAAAAGTGGTCTTAAGCGTGCTAGAGGGATTATTTTAGGAGAGAAAAGGAAATTTTCTTAGATCCAAAACTCAAGCCCATTAGTAATTAATTGACCCACTTGATATTAGCCATTGGATTGTGCTTAATTCCAAGAAACAATCTTGCACCATTGGATTTCCTATATGCTCTTTCTTGACCTACAAGAATTTAAGTGCATCCATTAATGTAGATTATATCCAAATATAATCAAAAATTAAATATCACATATGCACAAAAATTAGGCAAGAAAGTGCAAAACTTTCTAAAAATAATCTTTCTAAAAATATGAGACTTGTTTTCAAAAAATAGGAAAAATTAATTCCAAGTCAAAAATAGGAAAGCACAAAATATTCATATTTTTAATCCAAAATCTCAATTTTTATGCAAAATCCAAAAATCAACCAATTTATTCAATAATGCATAAAAAGTCTAATTAAGCTCAAAATTATCATTTAAATCCTGAATTATGTGGGATAAAATATATAAAAATTGGGTTTATCAATTCCCCCACACTTAGCCTTTGCACTCCTGGGCAAAGCAAATGAAGACCAAAAAGCAGTAAGAAAAACAAAAGAAAATCAACCAAAAGTGAATGTTCCAATCACAAGCAAAAAGCAAGTCAAAGCATTCAACATCTCTCTTATCCAAGTAATCTTCTCATGAATCAAGAAAACAAACATCATGGCAATTTACTTGACAAAGGGGAATCTAAGTCAGAAATCCCTCACCAAGGTTAATGTGTATGTCACTCATCACTCAAAAGTGTATTGGCTTGTGTTTACACTCAAAATCATCCTACTCAATCCTCTTTCCATAGGCTTGACAAGAATCTAAATTCTCCACCAATCATAAAGCAATTACAAGCATAAATCAAAAGGACTTTTATTAGGTTGTAATGGGGCTAAGGTAAATAAATAAGGATAGAGTGTTTAGGAAAACAAAGTTGAACATCTTAGGAAATGAAGAGAACCAACGAAAAAATATAATGGAATGCAAGAAACTAAATTAAACTTGGATTGGGTCATTCTTCTTCTTCTTCTCTATTTTTTTTTAGCACTTTTTTTTTAAAAACTTTCTTAGGCCGTTATGTATATGCTTTTTGACGCGAACCTTCATATTGGTGATACAAAGGCCCGGTTACTCAAGCATGGATAACTCATTGGCACTAAGATGCTACTAGCACGCTCATAGCTCTTACTGGCCGTTTGACGCGAAGATCAACATTGGTGATGAAGATCCCCGGTTACTAAGCACAGCTTAAACTAGAGGAGCGGAATCTTATTACAATATTTTTTTTTCTTTTTTTCAAATTGACCCAAACCATAACTCCAAATGTGTTCCTCCATCCCAAGCACATATAATATAACACTCTTCAACTCCTAAGACATTCGAAAAGGGTAGGATTTTTTTTTTTTGGGTTAAGAGGGAAAAAAAATATGAAGGCTCAAAGGGGTTAAGCAAAGGATAAATATATGAAAAGGGTAGGCTTTTGGCTTATCTGGCTAGAAAAATTGAAATGAATGCCTTTATCATCTTTATGAATGCAAATGCACAAATGTGGTCTCAAACAAGATTCAAGTCAAGTTCTAGATCAAGAAAAGAGATAGGATATACACACATGAAAGAAGAAATGCATCAGGCTCAAAACCTCACTAGGTACATGATTACTAGCTTAAATTCACCTAAGTCAAATCCATTGCCACTTAGTTTATCCACTCAAGACATGATCAATCACTTTTCAAATCAAGAATGCATCATACTTGAATCACTTCAAACTTGCAATCTTCACATTCAAAACAAAACAAACAAAACATTTTTTTCTCTTTTTTTTTTGTAAGAGGAACTAAAACAAAAGTAAAAACACACCAAAAAAAAAAAAAAAACTAAAAGAATGAAATCCCTCCCCCACACTTAAACAATGCATTGTCCTCAATGCAGAACACATAGGCAAGTCACAAAGCAAGTAGTATCCAGCACAGCCCAACTCAATAATATGACAATGCAAAGCAAAAAGAGTGAAGGGAAGGAATACAACCAAGGCTACGTGGCGTCTCGTAGTGTGATAACCTCTACATCTTGGGTAGAGAACCCCTCGTAGTAAGGCTTCAAGCGATGACCATTGACTGTAAAGCATCTTCCAGTTGGCTCTCTCTTAATCTCTACAGCACCATAGGGAAAAACATTAGTAACAATAAAAGGTCCCTCCCATCTAGAACGGAGCTTACCAGGCATGAATTTAAGTCTAGAGACATAAAGTAGAACTTTTTGGCCCACGTGAAACTCCCTTCTTAAGATGAGCTTATCATGGATAGCCTTGGTCCTTTCCTTGTAGATCCGAGCATTCTCATAGGCTTCTCTCCTAAGCTCTTCAAGTTCTTGCAATTGTAACTTTCTTTCAACACCAGCACTAGCAAGATCAAGGCTGCAGCTTTTGATGGCCCAATATGCCTTGTGCTCCACCTCTACTGGCAGATGACAAGCCTTACCAAAGACAATTCGATATGGGGACATTCCAATTGGGCTTTTATATGCTGTACGATATGCCCAGAGTGCATCATCCAGCCTCTTGCTCCAATCCTTTCTGTTAGGTTGCACTGTCTTTTCAAGAATGAGCTTAATTTCTCTGTTTGAGAGTTCTGCTTGACCGTTTGTCTGAGGGTGGTATGGAGTAGCCACCTTATGCATCACACCATACTTGCTCAGTAAGCTCTGCATACTTCGGTTGCAAAAATGAGTACCCTGATCACTAATGATAGCTCTTGGGATTCCAAACCTGCAGAAGATGTGAGACCTGACAAAAGAAACCACTACAGAAGAGTCATTAGTACGAGTGGGGATTGCCTCAACCCACTTAGAGACATAATCCACAGCAAGCAGAATGTAAACATAACCAAATGAAGTAGGAAAAGGTCCCATGAAATCAATACCCCAAACGTCAAAGACTTCACAGAACAACAGTGGCTGTTGAGGCATCTCATGCTTCCTGGAAATATTGCCAACAAATTGGCACCTGAACACTTCTTACAAAACTCGTGGGCATCATGGAATAGAGTGGGCCAGAATAACCCACTTTCTAAAACCTTCCTAGCAGTACGCTTAGCACTAAAGTGCCCTCCACAAGCAAGAGTGTGACAAAATGTCAACACAGATTCAAATTCACTATCAGGAATGCATCGCCTAATAACCTGATCATTGCAAATGTGCCACAAGTAGGGATCATCCCATATATAGAACCTAGCATCACTCTTAAACTTGTTTAATTGATGCTTATTCATATCAGTTGGTAAAACAGATGCAGCCAGATAATTAGCAATGTCAGCATACCACGGAACAGTCATATCAACTCCACAAAGTCTATTATCAGGAAAATCATCTAAGGGTAAAGAAGATGTTACCACAGGAGTCTCAATCCTACTCAAGTGATCAGCTACCATGTTCTCTGCACCGCTCTTATCACGGATCTCCACATCAAACTCCTGTATCAGCATTACCCATCTAATCAAGCGGGGTTTAGAGTCTGGCTTCTTGAACAAGTACTTGATAGCCGAATGATCTGTAAAGACAGTCACTTTTGTGTGGAGGATGTAAGAACGAAATTTCTCAAGCCCAAACACAATTGCAAATAGCTCTTTCTCTGTGGTTGTGTAATTAGCCTGGGTGGCATCCAGTGTCCGTGATGCATATGCTATGATATGTTGCCGCTTTTCTATTCTCTGAGTAAGAACTGCACCCAATGTATAATCAGAAGCATCACACAAGAGCTCAAAGGGAAGGCTCCAATTAGGTGGCTGAATGATAGGAGGTGTAGTGAGTCGCTTTTTCAACTCATCCCAAGCACACCTACAAGCATCATCAAAAACAAAGCCCACATCTTTCTGCAGTAAACGAGATAATGGTAATGCAATTTTACTAAAGTCCTGAATGAATCGCCTGTAAAATCCAGCATGTCCAAGAAAAGAGCGCACATCTTTCACACAAGAGGGATATGGAAGAGATGAAATAATATCAATTTTGGCTTTATCAACCTCAATGCCATCATGTGAGACAACATGTCCTAAAACAATGCCTTTCTTGACCATAAAATGACATTTCTCAAAATTCAGTACAAGATTATATTCAATGCATCTTTCCAAAACCCTATCCAAACTAGCTAAGCATGCATCAAAAGAATCACCATAGACAGTGAAATCATCCATAAATACTTCCATGCAATGCTCAAGAAAATCAGAAAATATGGAGACCATGCAACGCTGAAAAGTGCCAGGTGCATTACATAATCCAAACGGCATGCGTCTGTATGCAAAGGTTCCAAATGGACATGTGAATGTGGTCTTATCCTGGTCCTCAGGTGCAATAGAAATTTGAAAATATCCAGAAAAACCATCCAAAAAGCAATAATGGGATCTACCAGCCAGTCTTTCAAGCATTTGATCAATAAAGGGAAGGGGGTAATGATCTTTTCTGGTCACAGAATTCAACTTCCTATAATCAATACATACCCTCCAGCTATTCTGGACTCTAGTTGGAACAAGCTCACCTTCATCATTACGAATAACAGTAATACCAGTCTTTTTCGGAACTACCTGAACCGGACTAACCCACTGGCTATCAGAAATGGGATAGATTATACCTGCAGAAAGAAGTTTAGAAACCTCTTTCTTTACCACATCAAGAATCAATGGGTTGAGTCGCCTCTGTGGCTGACGCACAGCTTTGGCACTATCCTCTAACAAAATCCGGTGCATGCACACATTAGGGCTAATTCCAGGAATATCAGCAAGAGTCCATCCAATAGCTTTCATCCTTCTTTTCAGCACCTCCAGGAGGCGAATTTCTTCATCAACAGCTATGTCGCTAGCTAGAATCACTGGCAATGTCTCATCTTCCCCCAAATAGGCATATTTCAGCGAATCAGGAAGTGGCTTTAGCTCTAAAGAAGGAGCTTGCTCAATTGAGGGCACGAGGGGCTTCAAATCAATGTTAGTCAAACTAGAAACCTGCATTGAAGACTCACAAGCAAAAGAGCAGACTTTCCCAACTTGGGAATCATTAGCAGGAACAGTAACAACAGAAGAATCAGATAATATGCCACAATTCATGAAAGAAGTGCCATCAGTAGCACTCATGTCAGAAGCAACATCGATCAGAATCAAAGACCTCTATATCAGGGACATGATCAATGTTAACTAACAGCTCAGAGTCAGGTAATGTAGATGAATCAGTTGCATCTATAGCATCAATCACACTAAGTAACTGAGAGAGTCCATGTGAATCAACAGAAGTACTAGATGAGGAATCACTGAAAGTGCCAAGTCTATGGACAGGTGCAGAAGAATCAAAACTAGAATGTCTAACAATCTCAATGAAATCAGTGAAAACATCAATATCAGCAGCATCTATACCAGTACAAGTATCACAACTACCAATTTCAGAACATGAACAAGAGATAGAATCATCTAAGCCAACAATATCACATGATCTACTTATCATACTATCTCTAAAATCTATGACAGCATCATCAGTAATAATGTCAACAAAACTAACATCAATCTCAGCACAACTATCAGGTGGATGTCTCATAGAGTCAAGCACATCAAATCTAATGATTTTACCAGCAAATTCCATAGTAAGAGTACCAGCATGCACATCTATCATAGCCCTAGCAGTCTTAAGAAATGGCCTACCCAAAATCAAAGATGAATGTCCCTTTTGCCTAAATCTAGCATCATCCATATCAAGAACATAGAAGTCTGCAGGAAATATGAGATCTTTTACCTTCACCAAGACATCCTCCAAGACTCCTTCTGGAACTACACAGCGTCTGTCAGCAAGAGAAGCGATTAGATTTGTAGGCTTAAGATCCACACCTTGAAGTTGAGCAAAAACTGATTTTGGCATGACATTGATAGCCGCTCCTAGATCTGCTAGAGCATCTGAAAACTCAATGTTACCAATGGTGCACGGTATGAGAAAGCTACCAGGATCCTTGCACTTCACTGGCATTGGCATTTGATAAAGAGAGGAGACAACCGCCCCTAAGTCAACTTTGCCATCATGCTTAAGCCTTCTCTTGGTGGTACACAACTCCTTCAAAAACTTCGCATACTTAGGCACTTGTGCAACTAGATCAACTAATGGAACATTGATCACCACCTTTTTGAAGATATCATAAACTTCTTTGAACATCTCAGCTTCTTTCTTTCTCCTTTCAGCCTTAATCACCCCTGTAGGAAAAGGTAAGACTTGCTCGCTCACTTTCTTCCCTTCCCCATCTTTTTCTTGCTCTTCTTGCAATGCCACATGTGGTGTTGATAAAGTGGACTTATTATGCGATGTGGAAGCAGGGGGAGAATCTTTAATGATAGCTTCCTTGTCCGTTGAAGCATGGGTAGTGACAGGATCTGCAGAGGTAATTGAATTTCCGCTTCTAAGAGATATAGCATTAATTCCACCAATGTTAGGATTCTGCTGGGTGCCAACATTAGGGTTAACTACTACTTGAGATGGCAACTTCCCTGAGCCTTGACTTTGCATGTTACTAAATGCATTAGATAACTGCCCAATTTGAGTTTGAAGATTCTGAATTTCTTGGCTATGTTGCAAATCCTTTTGTTCAAACTTATCCATCAGGAGTTTCATCATGCCTTCTAACTTTGAACTCTCATCTTGATTGGGCATAGTTTGCCTAACTTGTTGGAACATTTTACCACCAGAAGAGTTTATGCCTTGATTGAACTGTGATTGTTGAGGCTGGCCACTCCCATATCTGAGATTTGGATGGTCACGCCATCCAAGGTTATATGTATTTGAGTAAGGATCATATTTCTGGCCACCTTGAGTCATAGGCTTAGTGTGGTATACTGCATTACACGAGTCAACTCCATCATTTAGGTAAGGGCAAGAGTCAGTGGTGTGAGTAGCTAGAGAGCAAATAGAGCAAAGTGGCCCAATTAGAGCTGTAGAGTCAGCTTGTGGGATGAAAGCAGAGGAAGATCCCACAGAAGGAGCCATATTTTGGGAGTTTTTCATCTGAAATACAACCATTTTCTCCATAGCAGATGTTAACTTATCAATTTTGCTCTCAAGGCGAGACTCAGAATAAGATGAATGCAATCCAACTTCATTTACTCTAGCTTGCTGCCTAGTACCAAACTGTTGGGTATTTTCAGCTTTCTTTTCAATCAATCTCCAAGCAGCTTCAACAGTCAAGTCAAGAAGAGCACCTCCAGCAGCAGAATCTAGTAAATCTCTCTCAAGAGGCAAGAGCCCTTCATGAAAATATTGAATCAACAATGTATCTGAAATTTGGTGGTGAGGACAACTGGATAACAATGCCTTAAAGCGCTCGTAATACTCATATAAGGATTCCCCAGACATTTGTCCGCAACCACAAATATCCTTCCTGATGGAGGAAGTACGAGATGCTGGGAAATACTTTTCCAAAAACAACCTTTTCAGCTGGTCCCATGAAGTAATGAATCCAGGAGGTAAGCGAAGAAGCCAATTCTTTGCAGAACTTTCCAAAGAAAATGGAAGGCACGCATCTTAATCTAATCCTCAGACACACCAGAAGGCTTCATAGCAGTACAGATCATATGAAAAGTCTTCAAGTGATTGTATGGATCCTCGCCTGCAAGACCATTAAATTTTGGAAGTAAGTGAATCAATCCAGACTTTAACTCAAAATCAGTGTCAATATCAGGATAATTAATGCACCAATTTTGAAAATGCAGATCAGGTGAAACCAATTCCTTGATAGTCCTAGCAGGATAAGCCATGCTACTGTCAGAATGAGAAGAGTCAGGAGAATTAGAGGAATCAGCAGTTAACTTAACAGAAGAATCACTTTCTATAAGATTGCTAGATTGAGCCCTCCTTCTTTGATGAAAAGTCCTCTCAATCTCAGGATCAAATTCAAATAATTCCTGGCTAGAGGATCTAGTCATGCACTAAGCAACTATCACAAATCAAAGTGAAATGAAAAAAAAAAATTTTGCACCAAAAAAAAATGCAGAGGAAATATGCAGAATCACCTAGAACTCAAACCTAAAGTCTAACCATTGCTCCCCCGGCAACGGCGCCAAAATTGATGATGCTTCTGTCGTTAAAGCACTCAATTAAATTAGGTCCTCATTGATTTCTAGTTTAGGATCGACCTAGGTCATTACTTCCAAGGAGCAATTTGTGGGTTTCTTTAGGTAAAAATTCAGGTGATAAAAAAAGACAATAAATGGACCTAAATAAAATGCAAAATTCTAATTCTAAATGCAAAATGCAAATGTCCTAAAATCTATATGAAAATTAAATCAAACTAAATGAATGCAATGCAATTTTTGGGGGGTTTTTTGAAAGAAAATAAAAATAATGAATAAAGAAAATTAATCAGAAAGCAAAGAGAGTTAACAAGTAAAAATGGAGAAGTTCTCTTCAGTAAGGTAGAGGGGACAACTCAGGATTCGCATGAATTTAACCTTCATAACCTTAATCAGTTAATTAGACCAAAGGGAGGTGATAAGAGAGTGGAATTAATAAACTTAATTACCTACTTGAAACAAAGGGAACCCTCAATTTCAAAAGCCCTTAAACTATTAGAGAACTCATAACAGTATAAGGTTGGTTAATTAAGCTTATTAAAACCAATGAAAAATAACCCAATTAATTCTGGAAATTATGTTTGAAATTATCCGATTAAACAATCAGATAACCAACCAACTTAATTAAACAATTAAGAGGTGAAAGAACCCAAATTTTGCAATTGAAACCACATTGATAATTAAACTCATAATGAAAACTCAATTATAAATTCAATTAACAATGCAAAGGTTCTAAACATAAATTCCAACAAGTGTCTCAACATAAATAAAATCCAAATATCAATCCAATCCAAGCATAAAGATGACAATCTAGAACTAAATTGTCTCAACAAAAATACAACTTAAAATTATTTAAAACTAAATAATTTCAAGTCCTTGAATTAAAAAAATAAATGGAACATCACTCCCTTGTGGTCTTCAAGTGCTAGCCAAGGCTCTAGTCTTTTCCATGCTCCTCCCAAGTTGCCTCCCTGTAAGCTTAAGCTTCCATGGTATTATCTCCTCCCTCCATGCTATTAGGAATCATGGCCACCATAGTTAACGGAGAATGGAGAATGGAGATGGGTGTATGTGGCACGTGGAATGGAGACGTTGATGATGATGTTGACTAGATGGCTCTTGTGCGTGGGACAAGGAGGTGGTATATGGTGGATATATGGGATAATATTCAAAGGAGAGGGCTCTCGTTTTAATGTCCGTGCGTCTCCATATAGATGGAAAAAAAGTGGTCTTAAGCGTGCTAGAGGGATTATTTTAGGAGAGAAAAGGAAATTTTCTTAGATCTAAAACTCAAGCCCATTAATAATCAATTGACCCACTAAATATTAGCTATTGGATTGTGCTTAAATTCCAAGAAACAATCTTGCACCATTGGATTTCCCATATACTCTTTCTTGACCTACAAGAATTTAAGTGCATCCATTAATGTAGATTATATCCAAATATAATCAAAAATTAAATATCACATATGCATAAAAATTAGGCAAGAAAGTGCAAAACTTTCTAAAAATAGTCTTTCTAAAAATATGAGACTTGTTTTCAAAAAATTAGGAAAAATTAATTCCAAGTCAAAAATAGGAAAGCACAAAATATTCATATTTTCAATCCAAAATCTCAATTTTTATGCAAAATCCAAAAATCAACCAATTTATTCAATAATGCATAAAAAGTCTAATTAAGCTCAAAATTATCATTTAAATCCTGAATTATTGTGGGATAAAATATATAAAAATTGGGTTTTATCAGTGACATCCGCTGCGGCACTTCCTCAGATCCGCTGCGGCCTCTATTACAGAGATGAGTGCCTAGCTGAAATTGGACAGGCGCTGTGGCCTCTGGTGCAATCCGCCGCGGCGCTTGTTGCAGAATTGATTCTGTGAAAGGCGCTGCGGCACCTGATGATATCCGCCGCAGCGCCTGATACTGATAAACCAGGTGGATGAATTTTGCAGCAGCTTCTGACACTGTTCACACCTTCACTCCTGCAAATTGAACCTCTCAACACAATGGTATTAATTTTTCAACAAGAAAAAGATCTCAAAAGCATAAAAACAACCAACCGTCATTAGGTTTAATAGAAGAACAATTAAAAGGAAAAAGGTTGCTACAGCAAGGATTCAAACAATTCACAGCCTACCAAATTGTGTTAACTCCTTGACAACCTATGGAATGATTTTGGAACATAGCAATAACGGAAACTACTCCACAACAAAACACAAGAGTGAAAATGCAACACAACTCAAAAACACTAAAGCTACTTTTTCTGAAGTTTTGGGTTTTCAAATATAAAAAATTTTCTTGGCACACCAGTGAATTGCTTAGAACCTCAACAAGTAAGGTTCCCCGGCAATGGCACCAATTTGATAAACCTTGTCACTAGGTAATCAAAGTTTTACTAGGGAAATGCAGCAAGTGAGGCACTACGTAGGTCATTCTTCTCAAGGAACCTTAAGTTGTATTTTAATTCTTAACAATTCACTTTTAATTATCAAATTACCAAGATGAAAGCTTGAGTTTTAGAAAAGAGAAATCAAAACAAGAAACAAATCTAATGAAAGGTAAATTGCAAATGAGATTCAGATAAGAGATAGTAGTTCCCCTAGCAATTTATCCAACCTTCCTTGTTCAATCTTATAATTTAGAGTCTCTTAATGTCAATTAAATGGATAGATTCAGCTACTGCTCAAATCTCTCTTAACACAGATCAGAAACAACTTATCTTACTAGATTCATTATCTTGTTCTGTGAGAAGGAAAATCAATTGACAAGAACACTTGAGAAGCAAGTTGCAATTCTCTAAGGATGACCACAACTGTGAATCATCAATATATTCAACCAAAATTCAGATTTACAGAACAACAGTTCAAATAAATGAATTAGATTTACAAATCAACAGAGAAACCTCTATTCAACTCAATTAAAGGACACAACTCACATCTGAATGTTCAATCAGATCTAAATCCCAAGAAACATAAATCTAATCATCCAACCTTCATTCTAACCACAATTGTTCAACTGAAATAAATGAACCTTAGAATAAAAAGTAGAAACTAGATCTGAATGACTCTCTGTTCAGCTCTATGAACTCAAGTCAGCTTCATTGCTAGAAGAACTTGGAAATTCAGCTACTCATGCTCTGGATTAGGGTAGAAACAGCAAGAATTGATGAAAGATCCATGGTTGATCGGTGGAAATTGATGAAATTGGATGAAAATGGAAGAAGGAATTGAGAGAAGGCAGAGAGAACAAGAAAATCGTGTCTGGAGATGAATGAGAAACTGAAATCTGGTCCCCCTCGCTGAAGGGCGCGATTCTGGTTTTAAATCTGAAATTTTCTGTCGTCTGCCGCCGCGCCTCCATCAATCCGCCGTGGCGCCTGTCCTGTACGGTGTCGTTTTGATTAATGATCCTGAGCTTCATGAAAACTTCCGTCTGCCGTGGTGCCTTAGTCCATCCGCCGTGGCGCCTTTCACCGAGAGTATCATTAGAAATCCGCTGTGGCGCCTTCTCATATCTGTCGTGGTGCCTCAGACAGCACTGAAACTTCCTGAAATTCACACCAAAGCAGGGATCAAAAGTACACACATACAAAATCATATAAAAGCATGTAAAAACACCTGCAAAACCTCATAATTCTTCTCACCAACTCTTATGCACAATGGAAGCTAATTATGTCCAAAGTATGTAAATATAGATGGCAAAAGTATGTGTTTAGGGCTAGAAATATATGCAAATAATGAGACTTATCACCTACCCAGATGTACCTTCCTGAAGATGGTTGAGGCCATAGAGACTTTTGTATGGGCTACTTTTCCGTGAGCTGATCACGGCTAGTATTAGGCTTATGATGTACATAGTATGAATACTTTTTGGGCTGTAAATAAGTTAGGCTAACTGCTAAGAACCTTGCATAATCCTTTTTGTTGCTGTACAAATGTTAGCTATATAAATATGAGAAGTATGTTTTGCGATAAACGATTGAGAAATTCCTTTATTCTCCCATAGTTAATTAAGAACGAAACAAAATGGTAAGAACACAGAGAGGAGCAAGAAACACTCCTGAGGAACCACATAGAGATCCTATCCAGCAAGTAATGAATAGGTTGGATAAGCAGCAACAAGTCGTACAGCAAATACAAGAGGCACAGTTACGGCAGCAAGAAGAGAGAGACGTTGTTATAGCAGCAGCGATTGCTCAGTTACGACAACCTGAGCAAGCACAAGCTGAAGTAGCTCCACAAGTCCAACAACAAGTACCTAAAGAGCAAGCAGGACTGACTGAGA